AGAGAGAGGAGGAGGCCAGAGAGGAGGAGGCGGAGAGAGGAGGAGGCTGAGACAGGAGGAGGCAGAGAGAGGAGGAGGCAGAGAGAGGAGGAGGCTGCAAGCTGGGAGTGGGTGCCTGACCCACCACAAGTTTGGGGCTCATCCGTGTGGTCCGGTGAGTCCCAGTGGCCTCCCACCCCTCAGGGATGAGGTTGTTCCAGCTAAGACAAAGAACGGATCAATGCCGAAGGCCGGCAGGGCCCTTGTTTCCAGGTGAAATGGACAGCAAATGGGGATTGTAACCAAGAGCACAAAGCGCTCACCTCTACTCTCCTCCTGGCCAGGCCCCTTTCAACAAATGAGAGCCCCCCAGCCCCCAGGCTGCAGCCAAGCCTGCTTTTCTCTACCCAATCTGCCGATGCTGGAGCAGCTGAACCCAGGGAAAGCTCCCTCCCGCTGGCCGCGTCTCTGTCCCCCTCGTCTTTGGCTCAGTGGCCAGACGCCCCCTCTAAACCTTCCCCGATGTCCAGCTGCCCTCGTGCTCTCTCTGAAGCTGGGCCTCAGCGCTGTCACACACTCCACCACCCCGCTCCCTGAAAGCTCCAGCGGTTCGCTAAGGCCCTCTCCTCCTGCCCACCCTCTTCCCACACGCCTCACGGCTTCACCTTCTACCCCGCTACCTGTCCAGGTTGTCCTGCTGCCTGGAATGCCCTTCCTTCTTCCCTCTGCCTCTCTCACTCTCACTAGAGCTGCAGCACTCAGCTCTAGTCCTCCTCCTTTGGGAAGCCTTCCCTGACCTGCCCCCCCCACATGGCTAGAGCCCTCCCTCTGCCCCAAAGCTCCCTGGTGCCACACCTATGGTCTCGGCCCATTGGAGGGTTCTGTTTGTCTTGGTACCCCCAGGGCCTGGCACAGTGCTCGGGACACACGTGCTGACTGACTGAGCCTCGCTCTGACCTGGCAAACACACCCCGTCAGCCTGGGAACTCTCCACTTGGACCATTCGGTGAGTTCCAAGCTCAGCTTCTGGCACCCGGCGCCTACTAAATGTTGGCTGAACCCTCAGAACGGAAGCCTACGTCGCTGTCAAAGGGGCCCCTGCTCTCCCAGCTATGCATCCCATGACGAAATGGGAGGCTCGGCACAGCTGGTCTGATGACTTGCCCATAATTTGTCCGAGTCTTGATCTGAACCCACACCCTCTGAGCTCAAATCTAGGGTTCTCCCTGTGCCAGCATGCAGGTTCTAACTAGAAGGTGATGCGCTTTCCGGGCCTCCTCCCCCTCCCCAAAACAAGCGATCTGGTGGAGCAGAGCTCCAAGCTCCTCTCACACACGGCCCTCTCTAAACACACTGCACACACTAAGTGCCACATAAATGTTAGCTGTTATCATCACAATAGTGTCCCCGGTCAAACAGCCCCACTGTGCGCTTATCTGTGGCCTGGGAACCCTTGCACCTCTAGGCCCCAGCGTTCTTCTCCAACCTTCTGTCCCCCGACTCCCCAAGGAGAAGCATCCATTCTGCCATCCCAGCCCGTCCACACTCATGTCCGACGCCCACCACCCCTCAAGGCCAGCCCGAGTCTTCCCTCGCCTCTGACCTGGCACCTGTTTCTACACAGAGCTCACTTGAGGAAAGCCACACCCGTCCAGCACAGGGGCGGCACAAAGCGTCTGGTTGGGGAAGGCCCACCCATGGGGGTAGCCGATGAGGCCCCCTCCTCCCGGCCACACATTGTACCTTTCTTCATGTCCCTGAAGGGCGGGTGGTTGTAGCAGTACGGGCACAGAGGGTAGCTCTTGCCCCGGGACCCCGAGGACCAAAGGACAAGCTCAAAGTCATCCAGCGGGCACCGAAGCTCCTTGTAGAGTTTGATGGTGCCGTTCTGGGGAAGGGTGTAGGTCTCGTCGCAGTGAGAACAGTGCAGCCGGCTGGGCTTGGCCTGCGAGGAACAGGCACAGAAGGCAGAGGCGTGAGGGGGCCCACCCAAAGAAGGAATTTCCCCGTCTTTCTCCAGGCCCCAGGCTACAGTGACGGCCCAGCCTGAGGCTGCTGGGCCTGGCTAGTCCTCAGGACAGACCACAAGGGGACCAGGGTCCTCCCCATCTGTCTTGGAGTGTGGCTGGGAGGGATGTTTCCACAAGGCCCAGCTGGATGGGCCGGGCCTGGGGACTCTCACCTGGATATACTTCATGAAACGATGGCACTTCCCACATCGGGACAGAGGTTTGCCGGTGGCGGCGAGTGGCGAGAAAGACACTTCCATCAATTCATCCATGCCTGAGGGATGAGAAAGGCCAGAATGATCATCGACGCTCCCTGCCAGCGCCCCACACTCAGGAGGAGACCACGAAACATTTACTGAATCGGACGCTGGCCATCACAGGGAGGCGGGTCTGCCAATGCATGGTAAGCAAGTGGGACCAGACACCAGACGAGGCTGGGATGACCATGCGTGTGGATCACGGGAGCCAGCTATAAGAGCCAGAATGGAGCCCGGGGGGGCCGGGGAGCCGAAGGGGTAGAATGCGGGGAAGAATGCGTCCGCCCAGAACCCGGCTAGACCAGACAGGCTACTGGGGGTGCACCTGCTTTGTAAGCTCATTCATTCATTCATTCATTCATTCAGTAAACACGTACTAAACACCTACAGCATGCACTGTCTCAGTGATGGCTCTGGGAGAGGCAAAGATGAATGAGGCCTGGTGCCCGCCTCACGGAGCCCATAATCTAGAGGATGCTACAGGTAGCCCCAGGACACGATAAAATACAAGCAGTACTGGAGAGAGAGGCGGCTGCTGCGGCAGAGAAGCCAGCCTTGGCCTGGCGGTCAGGAGGCCTGTGCGTCCACGCTCCAGCACTGACTCCAGGTGACTTCACCTCCTGTATAAAATGGGGCCCTAGAACCTGACCCCACCCGGCCTGATAGGAAGGTTGGGAGGAAAGGACACACAGAAATGTGAGGACAGGAGGAGGATGACTCATGGGGGCGGAGGGAGGAGGCCTGTGAGCTGGGCACTGCACTCACAGAACGGCTGAGAAGGGGCCGGAGACTGGCAAGCCATTAACTACCCAGAAAAGATGCTCCAAATCCCCAGTAATGAGAGAAGAGCAAACTGGCCAAGTCGATCAAGGACGGGAGGAGCGGCCAAGCGTCCAACTCATCTGCACACGATTCCGAGTTTTGGGAAAGGAGTCACCGACCTGTCCAGAACCTCTGACCCGCACGCGGCTTCCCTGCGAGGCCCGTGCCCCCTGGGGCCCCACGTCCACCAAGCCGCCCATGGCGGGGCTTTCTGAAGTAGAGAAGAGTTGGCGACAGCCAGCCCACCAGGGGTGCCCAGGAGCGACAGAATGACGCCGTTATTCCTGGAGCCCAGTCAAGGCCACCCCTTGGCTGGACCCAGCAGCCCACTGGTTAAGCCTTCTGCTAGTTCTACTAACCCCAAATATCACGCCCTAAGAAACAGGAGACATTTAGCACAACCCGGAGAGACGCAGGCACGCGCCTGCCCAGGGCGAAGCCGGCAGAGCCGTCAAACAGAGACGCCAGGCCAGGGGACAGCAGGGCCGGCCGGCCTGGGGACTGAGCCCGGCTGCAGCCGCTGCCATCTCTTCTCTGCACAAGGACGGCTGCTCAGACAAGACCGCTGGGCAGCTGGCTGGCTTCACCTTTGGTTGTGGCTGCCGGGGGTTAGGGAAAGGGGCATATCTGCAAATGACTGCCAGAAAAAGAAAAGCATCAATAAAACTGAAAGGAAAACCTTTCTAAATGTAGGAATCGGTGAGAAACGAGGGCACCAGGCATTCCGGGCTCAGGAGAAGGTTCGAGTGAAGGGAAAGTGTGGATGGCAGCAGCGCCCAAGGGCATTGGGGGCCAGACAGGTGGCATCTCAGAGATGCTGAAGAGATCACAGGCTCTGAGAACCAGAGGGCCTGCCCAGGGTCTGCCAGACTGAAGGGCAGAAGCAGGACCCCGGCGCTCTGCTCTCAGGCGTCTTCCAGAAGCCCACGCTCCCTGCTCAGTGGCCAAGTGAGAAGGAATCAGCCGAATGTCCACGCCTGGGGGCAGGGCCTGTGGCTCCTGGGACAGTGCCTAGCACACAGTAGGTGCTTAATAGAACGCTTGCTGATTAACGATCCAGAGATGGCTGCTGACCAAGCTGCCTCACAGAGATGTGGGCAGGCATCGTGCAAAGGTCCCTCTTCTCCGCCTGCCAAGGTCTGAGTCCCCACTCGTGACCCGAGGAACGCAGAAAGCGAGGGGAGGCCTCCCACTCACCTGAGCACCCCGGGCCCGGGCTCGGCACACAACGGTGCCGGCGCTCAGGATTCGCTGGGAGGCCCCCTCCCAACTCAGAACAAACCCTGCCTGTGGGATGTTCTGGAGCTCATGCTCTCCTGAGTTTTCTTCACGTGCTGAGGTTCGGTTGTCCACCCTAGCATGTGATACATGTATGCTCCCTGAGCATCTGGGACTGCACAGTGCCTTCTGGCCCGTTAGACAGCCTTTCACATGCCCCACGGGCAGGATGCCCGAGGTCCACCTGGCGGGGCACTGGGCAGGGTGAGCAGAAACAGGTGGAAGCACGCAATAATTAAGACACATCACGCCTGGGCTCCAGGCCTCCCTGTGGGACTTAGGAGGGTCTCACAAACTTGGTGGCCTCTCTCCAGGCTGGCATCAGACGGGATGCTCCAGCGGTTCTCCCGCCTGCCCTCCCAGCTCTCCACGCACAGAAGTCTCTTCACACGGGAAGCTCATGCCAGCACTGGATTCCTCCCCGGGGAAGGAGCCTCTGCCCCTCTCCCTGCCTGCCTGGCTGGCTCCTCTCAGAACCCTCCTTTGGGGACGTGCCCAGGCCAGCCAGGCCTCCGTTCCCATGCAGGCTGACTCTGCCCCCATTAGAATACAAGCTCCCTGAGGACAGAGGCTGCCTTTTTTTCTGCTTATGTATGTACCCCGAGTGCCCAGCACATAGTAGTGCCTAATAAATGCAGTGAATGTGCCGGACTTCCCTCCATCACTAATATCCAATATTCCATGTGCTTTTAAGCCCTGGGTAGTTTACAAAACAGCTCTGTGTCCTTCTCCGCTGAAGCCTCTCCGCTGTCTGAATGTGGCCTGCAGTCGCCCGGAGCCGCAGAGTGAGGACGCGCTCAGCAACGAGCGATGCTCGGCCTCCGGACAGCCTGAGGGCCCCGCAACGGGGAGGAGGCTTGAGGGGGGAGGGGACCGTGGCCTGCTTCTCTGGGGTTCCCTCAGGACTGGACACGAAGCCTTCAGGAGGCAGGGGCGGCCACGGAAGAGATCCCACCATTATGGGCCCTGTGCAAGCCACGGACGTCTCTGGGCCTCAATTGCTTCAAAGGGGCGGTAATGCCAGGACCTCCAGGCCTGAGAGCTGTGACCTGGACTAGTGAGGGAACGTACGCTGACGAGAGCCCGGCGTCACCCTGGTCTTGGAGTGTCGCTCCAAGCGCTGGAGACGAGCGAGGTCGCTCACTGACCTGTGCCCAGCGGGGTTCAGAAGAGGGGGCAGGCAGGGGTGGGGGCTCACCTGCAATGGAGTCCACAAAGTAGTGGAACTTCCTCTTGAAGATGTTCAGGGTATGCTCCAGCACCTGCTGGTAGTCCGCCTTGCCCAAGGCGATCAGGCTGAGCTGCTTCTCCACGGCGCTTCGGATGGTCGGGAGCACCAGCTCGGCATCTGGCCAGGAACCAGAGGAGAGGGAGGGCGGGTGGGCGGTCAGCGGCCACCTGGCCCAGCCCCGCCGACGAGCCTCCCTGCTCTCTGACCCCAGCCCCGCCGACAAGCCTCCCTCATCACTGACCGGGGTCCCGGCGGGCAAGCCTCCCCCATCACTGACCAGGTTCCTGGCCGGCAAGCCTCCCTCATCACTGACGGGGCCCCGGCCAGCAAGCCTCCCCCATCACTGACAGGGTCCCTGGCCTCCCTCCTCACT